GGTATAAATGACGACCACATACTATTCTAGACAGTCCAGTGGAACGCTAGCAGGCTCACAACATGTAGGTATTTATTTTAACTGTGTGCTCACCAGGTGTACTCCATCCCCCACATGGTTGCCTTATGGACATTTATTGCTGAGGAATCCCCTTAGCAGTAGTGTCCATCCCGATGATAGTCCTTAGACTAGGTCCCTTGTGTTAGATGTTTTAGGGACGTAAAGTGAGGATAACAGGAACGGGTAATCGGGTTGTTTGGTTTGATGAAGTTAATTAACTTATTTATTGTGGGTTGAAAACCATATGTGCTCACCAGGCTCCCAAGCCTGACCTACTCAGTTTCTTGTATTACGGGTAGTGGCGCATGAGCATAGATGTGATGTCTTGGGATGAGAGATTAAGAAATTTTAGGCCTGTAAATACGGAATAATGTAGTAAGGCCTATGTTGTATTGTTTATGTTTATAGTATGTATCGAAATGACATCCCGAGTCTTTTTAATGAAATACATTTCTACGAAAATGCTTTTGATAAACCTTTATCATATTTGGTTTTGGGACAAATTCCGCTACACTTTTATTTAAAATGTTACTCTGATATTTAAACAAAGCATAAACAAAATCGGTCTTTTCTGGTCATGAAAATGGGGATGTCACAGTTGGTATCAGAGGATTAGTTTAAGCGAACTAGGAATTTGTAGGATTTCTAGACTTAAACTTAGAATGCTAAGCAATGATTATGAGGTGTGAGCACTAGCTTATTTTAGGAATTATGCCTAAAATGCTTTTATGTGTTAAATGGTTTGTGCTTGATATGCTGTTAATTGTTTGGATCTGTGGTCTGTTGCCGACCGGATCTGGAAACCTTATGTGTTTAGCATTCTAAATGTACGACTACGATATTAGAACTAGCATGTAAACGTTTCGGAGAGATAAGGATGATTTGAACATCAGTCCTAAATAAAGATCTAAATTCACCTTATTCGGTGTATAGATCAAGATGGCAAGGACCCGTAGCGGAAACGTGAATGCAAATGGGAACAGAAATCCACCCCCAGTGATTGAGCAAATACCGGTTGTGGAAGTCGTTGCTGAGCCAATAACGATGGCCGGAGTGCAAGCGATGATCTAGGCGATGTTGGATCATCAAATGGAAGAAACCAGATGTTTGCTCCAGCAAAATCTAGAGGAAGCGACTATTCAGATCGAACAGCCTAAGTTGAACAAAGGGCAGACTGAGGAAGGAAACTACAGTGGGATTGTTGGTCAAGCCAACCCACCAATATTTCAACAAGACAACCAAGGTGACGAAGTCGAGAGGAATGGATGCAAGTACAAGGATTTTCTGACTTGCAAGCCATCGATATTCACGCGAAAGGAAGATCTGATCGGGGTCATGGATTGGATCTCGGAGATGGAGTTAGCTTTCATAAAGTGCAGTTGCAGAGGAAAACTACAGACCACGTTTGCAGTGCGTCAGTTTCGAGGAGGTGTTGTACGTTGGTGGAATACCTTGGGGAAGACTTGAAGCCCCAACAAGCCCCTACAACTGACATGGGTAGAACTTCTGGTGCAATTCAAACGAAAGTACTGCTCAGCTCAAAACCTACTCGAGCTAGAGAACCAGTTTCTAACCATGAATAAGGGAAGCATGTCACTCGATGAATACACGAACAACTTCACAGAAAAGATGGAGTTTGCCTTGCATCTTGTTCCGGATGAGCTGACGAAAATCGATAAGTACACAAAGGGACTTCCATGGGAGTACGCGGTGCTAGTGCGTCAGACACATACTCTAGAAGCAGCTATCTGGGCTGCCAAGTCTGTGGAGGATATGATTAAGGGAAGAGCTGCCAGCAAAGTTGAGGTTGGCGAGAAGAGGAAATTTGAAGGGTCTGCTAAACCCAATAAAAAGAAGAGCAAGTTCGGTTCAAAGAAGTTCGGGGGAGGAGGAAATGAATTGAAATAGTGCGAGAAGTGCAAGAAGAAGCACTCGGGAAAATGTAGCGAGGAAGTAACTTGCTACAAGTGTTAAAAAACGGGGCACTATGTCAATGAGTGCACCATCAACAAGAGGGTGTGTTACGAGTGCTATGAAGAAGGGCATATTGCTAAGGATTTCCCAAAGAAGAAAGATGCGGGAAGGCCCAACATTCCACCGAAGCCGAAGGCGAGAGCCTTCCAGATGACGCTTGAGGCTGCGAAGGAGGCAACAGACATTGCTTCAGGTACCTTTCTTGTAAATGGTTTTCCTGCAAATATACTATTTGATTCCGGAGCCAACTACTCCTTTGTGTCGCATAAATTTGGTGGGAAATTAGCATTGCCTGTAGAAAGACTTGATAATGCCCTTATTGTAGAAGTTGCTAGTGGCAAATTCGTACCTGTTAGTAATCGTATTAAGAACGTTGTCGTCGACCTAAACAGAAATGAATTCCGTGAGGAGCTATTACCCATAGAGTTAAACGGTTTCGACATCGTTTTGGGTATGGATTGGCTTACCGTGAATGATGCTGAGATTCAATGCCGAAACACTACAAGAAAACAACCCTTTAATGACACACAAACAATGACACTTGCTGATAGAGGATGCACATTTGTGCGTGCGCTAAAAAATAATGTCAGTTTTGCAAAATTTGAAGGATAAAGGACACGCATTTGTGCGCGCCATAAAATTAGTGTCAGAAAAGAAAAAAAAAAAAGAAATGCGGAGGGCGCCTTTCATAAAATGTGCATCGTGTAAATGTGTCGCTTTATAATTTTTAAGTGAAACACGCGTGTTAGGCGGAAAATGAAATCGACCAAAATTACCCCCGCCTATTGCATCCCAAAAATTAATCCCCCCGCCTCAAGAAAAAGCCCTAGGGCCTTCATCTTCATCCTCAGTAGTGAGAATACCTAGTTCGATTCTTCAGGGTTCAACAACATATTTGTAAACAACAAATGTATACGATTCTGGATCTCAGCATGATTATGGCGTTTTGGAGCGGGCGACGTGAACATCATTATTGAGAAAAGTTCATACAAAACTCAAGAAGTTCTATGGTTTCGATTATTGAGTGAGTTATAGGGACGTGTAATCGTTTTGGACTCTTAAGTTGAAATTGAACCCTAAAAACTCAATCCACACTTCGAACTTCTCTGATTCTCTCTTCTTCCACTCCCTAATCTCCTTGGTGGCGCTCTTTCCATTTCCATTTCCAACCTCAAACCACCGCTAAATGGAACCCAACAATTCAATCAATCAAATCGACAATCACATCGACAATGATGGTGATCATAACTCATTTCCAAGCCACTATCATCACATCATCACCTATTTAAGAAAGAGAAAACACTCTCAATCTCAGGTAATCACACCAATCGATTTACCCCAATCGATTCAACACAAGTAAACCCTCTTTCCGAATCATCAGCTCTAGGGCTTGTTCTCCTTACTCATACGTTCTCATACGATATTCAAAACCTCACTGAGTCTCTCCTTCTCGAAATCCTCGCAAGATTGCCCCTGAAATTGAACGGATCATTCTAGGGTTCTTTTCAAGATGGGAGTGCTCTCTATAATGCTCGCTACCTTGGCTCACCTCATCTACCAACGATCTCGACTCATCTCTTTTAGCCGACGAGCTTGGGATAACCTTACCTCGACAGAGACCGCCACATATGTTCAAATTTACAAGCCCTTTTAACGACCATCAGATCTTCTTTGTGATCTATCTCGCACAACAAGACTCCCTCTCAATAACATCGTCTTCCTTGTGTTGAAGGTAGTATAATATCATCTAAAAACTTAGTGGGCTCGATCGCACCCACAAATATGTGATTCTACCTACAGTAATCGAGACCACAGTCCAAAGATCCGACATAGGGCTTTCAAACATGAGATTTTATGAAACTTCAAACCACGTCTCTCTCAAATTGGAATTATTCACTATATAAACATATATATTGTTAAATTCTCTTTTCTACTGTTCGAATTTTTGCTTGGTTATGTCGATTTTGCCCTTGATTTGGTGATTCTCCCCCTCATGTTGACTTGTATTCTCTGAATAGTACTTAATTTTGACAAATTGGTTCAAAACACAAACAAATTGGAAATTTAGGGTTACTTGTCGCTTACCATAAAATTATCAAGACAAATTGACAAATCTGTAGTTCAAAAGATTCTTTTTCCTATAGAAAAGTTGTAATTCTATTTGGAATGAAGGAGCAACATAATAGAAAACTAGAATGTGCATGAATTCTAAAGGGCAAGAAACATTATCCATGTGGCTTCTGAATTTCTATTTGTCTGATACATGCAAAAAACATTATCTATGTGGCTTCTAACTTTCTATTTGTTTCATGTATATGTATTTCCACAGGTAATATAAGATTGTTATAGACTTATGTAAAGATGGAAAATTCATCCATATATGGTTTCCTAGAGAAGGTAAGAAGCTATGGAGTTCTATCCTTTATTTGTGGAGATTTTTCTTTGGGTTATATTTATACCATATTTAGCATGTATTGAGGCGTTCATGGTTGAATTTGCAGATGATTGGGAAGGACAAAGACTATAGATATACAACAACTTCAGACCTATTACAACTTAGATATATCTCTTATGTATTTATCTGATGATTTGAGTATTTTGTATATGTAGGAGTTCTTGGCACCTTTTCCTGCAGCAGGCTCATCGGTTCTATAGATATTGTTGTAGGCAGGCAGGTTAGAGAACTATTTCCTTGTTTAATTTATTATTTCTGTTTCCAGTAATGAACAATATCTTTTTGCATCTCTTTGTAGGTTGTTGACATGGAATAATTAAGACCTATTATATTTTGTAGTGTTCTAGGATTATGTAACAAAGTATACCTAGTAATTCATTACAAGATTCTTGTTATTTGATTGATTATTTTATTTATTTAAAAAAATGTGCTTTTATTTAGAGAATTAGGACATCAGGGAAGGGGAAATGCCACATGGTGTGGTTTTTGTGGGTTGAAATGTTAAAAACAAATGGTGAATACTCAATATGAGGAGGGTGTTGGTGTTTACTCTCGTATGTATGATGAGGTAATAAACCTCTTCATTCATGAAAATATAACAATAGATTAATCAGGTTCCTCATTCTAGTTAGTTAGTTTGGAATGAATTCTCAGTAATTTTCCTTCTTATGAATATTGGTTTGCTGGATTTCATAGGAGTTGGCTGGAATTGGAATTCAATTCGAATTGTGCCTCCAGCTTGATGCTTCTAAAGAGAATTTGGATACCTTAGAAGGTTTATTAAGTCTAGAAAAGAAACAAACCTTATGTATACAACACTTGATCAGTTGATCCAGAGTGACAAATTGTGAATGATGACTGTGAGGGACAGAAGAAGAGCTTAGGCTAGCTGTAGGGCAGCCCAAGAGTCTGAGATACAGTCCAGATTATGAGGTTCACAATGAGGAGAACCAAATGGTGAAGGCAGACGATGTGAAATATGACCAGATATTAGGAGTTCCCACAATCTTAATCCTAGATGCTAAATTTAGTCATTATTCAACCTCATTGTCATTATGTATCCAAAGGCCACAATTGCTTGTTGCACTTGACTTCCTAATGGCGGTTGCTGAGTTTTTTTTGTAACTACTGTACGTGGCATGTTGTCAAGTGAAGTGGATGAAACATCATTATATGTAGTTGATGCACTTGTTTTGGATAAACTGGTTTTTATTCAAAGCGATGAGGTGTTGATACTCTCTCCTCAAAGGCCTTTGGTGGTAGAGGTGGAACTTTGTTGTTACAAGACAAAGAAGGACACATGATATCTTCTACAAGCATAGAAACTATTATACATGTTGACAGTGGTAAACGATTGCAATTCAAAAATGTCACCATCAAGGTGTGTTTTCGCTTTTGATGTTGGTTTGATTGTTTTTCTTCTTCCGAACTTATGAAAATCAAATTTATTCATGCAGAATGGAGAATATATGGACTTATGTGTTTCCCTAAGGTCCACTAGCAGTTTCTCAGCTTTGGAAGATGATCAAGTCTTTTTGGAAGAGGAGGAAAGTAGCTCACCAAATAATCAAGAGGAAACTACAAAAGATTTGCCTTCTCCAAACAATACAATGAGCAGACCCACAGAAACTTCCATCGAGTTGCAGGTGAATGTATTTTTATGATAGCAGTCCATAGCATAGCGTAAGGTTAATTTTTCAATGATTATATCATTACCAAAACTGGGTCTATAAACCTTTTGCTTCCCGAGCAAACACCACTTGAACTTGACATTACATTCGTTCTTCCTTCTAACATCAATTTTTTCGTATCATCTAAAGAAAAAACTCATCTCAGTTAGTGAATTGTAAGCCATCGAAAAATAAGAGAGAACTTAAGACAATACTTCCATCAATGTTAATGTTCTTCCCTCCAAGTTTGCTATTATGACGCCGATTTAGAATTATCGTTTTTCTCTTTATAAAATCTGTCATTACAAATATCCCTTTACTTTCGCCCCAGTCCCAAAAATGCAACATTTTCTCTCTTATTTCAGTTTAAATTTACATATTAGCTCATGTGCAATCTTGAGAAGATATCTATTACATTTATTTCGTCCCCCAAAGTCTCTTATTCAACCATGTGTCATGTTTCACATTACATTATCTTGGGAGGAGGGAGTATGATATTATTTTGTGTACACCTTGTAATAATATGGCTTAATATCTAACAGTCAACTCTTATTTGTTTCTTCAATGATATTATTTTCCAAGATATGTGGATGGTCTTCTCTTATTGCGATTAATTTGCTATTGTTGCAAATTTATATTGCATTAGCACAAACAAATACTATCAAGAAATTTAACTGTAATCATTTACATTTTCTGATGTCAGTTTATATCATTTTTTTAGTAATTACTTTTATCTCCTTAACATTTTTTCTTAAACACTTCAAAGCTTCTAAGCTAAATAGTCTAAAATCATTTTTGTGCCCTCTGGACTGCAATTTATAGATCGACCCTTAATAATAGGACTAACCACTATAGTACTAAACCAGTTCTGTTATTCTGTTTACCACTCATGATAACCTTGTTCATGAAGCTACTAACAGTAGGGGTGGTTCTGTGACATGCCAATATTTTTCATCTTACTTCTCTGCTGTCTTATTTGCTAGTATGTCTATTCTTATACATGATTTTTTTTGCAGGTTATAAGCCCCGAGCTTACATTCTATAATTCATCAAAATATGTAGGAGAGTCTCCTCTCTTCACAAACAAGTTTTTGCATGCAAGATTGGATGCCTTCTGCAGGTCTCTCTTTCTTTCCTTCATGAATTTTGTTGATTAAATTTCATGGGTGCCTTAAATTTGTATTTGGTCCTTTTCATACTAAAGCTAGTGTTGCATGTTACTGGATGATTTGGGTATTGGAAAATGATAGGCCCTGATTCTTTATTGAATAAGACACAGATTCCATTGATAATCAAACTATGAACTGATAAGATATATTTGGGTTTTCCCATTCATTCGAGAGGAATGGACTCTCCAAGAAGAACAAAGTTCTTAACAATATAATTCTTAGTTGCTCAACAAAAACCTCAAGAAGCAAATAAATAGAAAACAAGACTCAGGGGAGTGGTCCCAAAACAGACCTAGGACAATGTCAGTGCTCCCACAAACAAAACAACCAATAACAACGATAACTCCTAAAAAGACCATTCTATCCCTAAAGCCAAAAAAATAGCAGAATAACAACTATAAAGCAGATCAACTAAAAGCCCTCTAGGATTACTTGGGGCTTATCAAAAAAATGCTTATAAATTTGTTCCTTTCTCTGGCATATAGGTACTGAAACTCAAACATGATTTTGCAATAGTCTATTTATCATTTTTCTTCTTATTTTCTATCCCTAAATGAATGTTTGTCTTCTAAATACGGCTAAACATAAATCTTCTCTTTTTGATTAACAAATCTTCAATTTTTGTTTAATAAAATGAATAAGCACTATTTTCTCACTCCATTTTGTGTGTGTTAGTTTGTATGTGGTGGATGGGTCCAAAACCTGGCTCCCCGGAAGCCTATATCCAATATATTCTAAACTGAAGGAAAGAGGTCAGTACTTTCGGAGAGAAATATGAAAGGAGTAGGTTAATTCTTATGGTTGGGTGAGAGGAATCACTGCATATTTTGAGAAAGAGATAGAATGATTCTTTTATGAATAACTTTTTGTTCTATTTCATGTTTATAAGCTAGAGATTGAGGGTTTTGTTCTAGGTTTATGATTTACTTTTTAAACGATCAACTTATTAAAAAAATCTTTCATGTTTATCTGCTGTCTATAGGCTCGTGCTGAAGGGCGATACAATAGAAATGAGTGCAAATGCTCTTGGTTTAACTATGGAGAGCAATGGGATCAGAATTTTAGAGCCATTTGATACTTCTGTCAAGTTCTCAACTGCCTCTGGGAAGACAAATATCCATGTTGCAGTTTCAGATATATTCATGAATTTTTCTTTCAGCACATTACAACTATTTTTAGCAGTTGAGGAGGATATATTAAAGTTCCTGAGGATGACATCCAGGAAAATGACGGTTTCCTGCTCCGAGTTTGACAAGCTTGGCACATTTCAAAGTAAAGATCTTGTCGACTTTTTTGTTGATTCTGAGAAGAATACTTGTTTATCAGTAAATTAAATTAAAAATTCTGAGTGTTCTAGGTACCCACAACAACCAAACATATGCATTTTGGAGACCGCATGCACCACTTGTTTATCAATCAGTTTATCACATCTTGAAAGAGGTTAAACACATATACTATCCATATAAACACATATACTTTCAGTTTATTAGTATCATCTTTATTTTATTCTATCTTTTTAGTATCTGACAGTTTTTTTGGTTCAAATATACAAATATAATCCTCTTGTTTGGAAATTGAAAGGCAGATTGAGGTGTCAGAAGAAGTTGGTGTTATGGGTAAATGAAAAAAAGTAAGGCACATTAGGTTGGTATTTTAAAAGTTAGTTTTTATTTTAGGCAGGGAGGGATAAATATAGATGCCACTGCAGCAGTAAGTGTTGTATCAGATGAAGAGATCCAAAAGCTTGTGGTAATGGGTTTTGATAAGGTAAAAGTAAAAACAATTACCCTCCTTTTTGTTGTGTAAACAAGATAGAAGGTTCTGGATATAAACATAACTATCTGGACACTTAAAATTTTTAGAGAGTTGTACCAATGTTTCAATCATATCTTGCTATATTTTTTTACAGGTTATATTTTCTGAACATGTTATTATCAGTGCTTGTGAGTTCCATGAGCAATACAGGAAGCTCATGATATATTTGGTGATGTGGATAAGCTGTTGAGGCAACGCAAGTTTTTTGTAGATATACTAACGATGGAAGTAGCTAATAAAGGAAATGGAAGAAGCCTCATGAAATAGATTTTTTGTATGAAACACAGTAGATTAGATGAATGAAAATTTATATATTGTAAGAAATAGAATTGTATGACATTAAATTTATGCAATGGATTCTATATTTAGTATATGATATTTTATTTTCTATTATGAAACATTAAATACAAATTTAATTTGAAAATAAGTAAACCTATAAATAATATTTTTTTTAAACATTTAAAATTATGATACGCAAAAATGTGTGTCATCTTCATTTATGACATGGCCTTTCTTGACAGGGGCTTTCTTGATACGCATTGCGTGTCATTAACACGCGCGTCGTAAGGTTACGACACGCGAATGCGTGTCGTCTTTCTTTATGACAGGGCCTTCCTTGATACGCATTGCGTGTCGTAAACGTGCGTCATAATTGCGCGTTGTAAATGCGCGTCGTCTCTCTTTATGACAGGGCCTTCCTTGACGCGCATTTGCGCGTCGTCTGTGCCTTTTACGACGCGCAATGAGCGTCGTAAAAGGCTGTTTTTCTAGTAGTGAAAGAAGATAGTAAGGGTAAACCCACCCGGAAAGGAATCATTTATGGTGTACGGGGACAAACACAGAGTGAATTCTGGAATCATCTCCCTAATGAAATCCATGAAATGTTTGTCCAAAGGATGTGCATCGTACTTGGTATTCGTAATCGATGCTAAGAAGGAAAAGAAACAGGTGCAGAATATACCAGTTGTGTGTGATTATCAGGAAGTCTTTCCCGAAGATCTTCCCGGATTACCACCTGATAGTCAAGTGGAGTTTCGGATAGACTTGTTACCAGGTACAACACCGATAGCAAAGACACCTTACCGATTAGCACCGGCGAAGATGAAGGAGCTCATGATGCAACTTCAAGAGCTGTTGGACAACGGTTTCATTCGACCTAGTTCATCACCCTGGGGAGCTCCGGTGTTATTCGTGAAGAAAAAAGGACGAAAGTATGAGAATGTGTAAAGACTACCGAGAGCTGAATAAGGCAACGGTGAAGAACAAGTATCCATTGCCGAGGATTGATGACCTATTCGATCAGTTGCAAGGTTCGAGCTACTTCTCAAAGATCGATCTTGGGTAATCATCAGCTGAAGGTAAGAGAGCAGGATATTAAGAAGACTGCATTTAGAACGAGATATGGACACTACGAGTTTTTGGTTATGTCATTCGGACTAACCAATGCTCCAAGAGCATTCATGGATTTGATGAATAGGGTTTGTAAACAATTCCTCGATAAATCCGTGATAGTGTTCCTCGATGACATTCTGATCTACTCAAAAAGCCAAGAGGAGCATGCCAAGCATCTACGAGAATTGTTAGAAGTGTTAAGGAAGGAGAAGCTTTACGCTAAGTTCTCCAAGTGTGATTTTTGGATCCGAGAAGTCCAATTCTTGGGTCATGTGGTTAACTAGGAGGGAATAATGGTTGACCCCGCAAGAATCGAAGCTGTAATGAAGTGGGAACGTCCAAAGAGTCCCACAGAGATTCGAAGCTTTCTAGGATTAGCCGGATATTACCGACGATTTATCCAAGGCTTTTCTTCGATAGCTGCTCCATTGATAGTTTTGACTCACAAAGGAGCTACATATACGTGGAGTGAGAAACACGATGAGGCATTCGAGAAGCTAAAGAAGAAGTTATGTGAAGCACCAATACTTTCTCTACCCGATGGAGTTGAAGACTTTGCGATTTACAGTGATGCATCTGAAGTTAGGTTGGGTTGTGTTCTTACCCAAAGAGAAAAGGTGATAGCATACGCATCTCGACAATTGAAAGAGCACAAAAAGAACTACCACACTCATGATCTGGAGTTGGCAGCGGTAGTATTTGCCTTAAAGATATGGGGGCATTACCTCTACGGCACGAAGTGCAAGCTTTTCACTGATCATAAGAGTCTTCAGTATCTCTTTAATCAGAAAGAGTTGAACATGAGGCAACGACGCTGGATAGAGCTACTCAAGGACTATGACTGTGAGATACTTTACCACCCCGGTAAAGCAAATGTTGTTGCTGATGCTCTGAGTCAAAAAGTCAACCTTAAAAGGAAAAGGCCAAGAGCGTTGACAATTGATGTCATCTCGACGATTGTGGAAAGTATCAGGAAAGCTCAAGAAGAAGCTTTAGAGAAGAATGACTGAAAGAAAGAACGTTTGGGCAAAACGTTAGTGTTTGGTACAAATAGATGAGGATTGAAGGTATTCCAAGATAAGATTTGGGTACCTAAGACGGGAGGAATAAGAGACCTTCTGATGGAAGAAGCACACAAGACCATGTACTCGATTCATCCCAGTAGCACTAAAATGTATAGGGAACTAAAACCCTACTACCGGTGGCCGACGATGAAGCTCGATGTTGCAAAGTATGTGGCCGAGTGTGTGACATGCGCAAGAGTTAAGGCACAACATCAGAAATCGTATGGGAGTTTAGAACCTTTACCTGTACCCATGGGTAAATGGGAAGATATCACCATGGATTTTGTGACTAAACTTCCCAGGATGAAGAACGGCACGACATGATTTGGGTGGTCGTGGATCGTTTCACCAAGAGTGAACACTTCATAATAGCCAACGAGAAGTGGTCTATGTATAAGCTCGCAAATGCTTACGTGAAGGAAATTGTAAGACTTCATGGTGTTCTTTTTACGATTGTATTAGATCGTGATAGTCGTTTCACGTCGAGGTTTTGGAGGAGTCTACAAGAGGAGTTGGGTACAAAGTTGTGTTTGAGTTCTACTTATCATCCGCAAACTGATGGTCAGAGCGAAAGAACGATTCAAGCACTGGAAGATATGCTGAGAGCATGTACCCTTGAGTTCCAAGGGAATTGAGATGAGCACTTACCTCTGGTAGAATTTTCCTACAACAACAGTTTACACTCGAGCATCAAGATGGCGCCCTACCAAGCTTTGTACGGACAGAAGTGTCGTACGGCGTCTTGTTGGCTTGAAGTCGGAGAAAAGTAGTTTATGGGCCCCGAGATAGTCCATGAGACTACTGAGAAACTAAAGGTGATTAGGTAAAGGATGTTAGCAGCTCAGGATCGTCAGAAGAGCTATGCTGACAAGAAAAGACGAACGATGACGTTTGAAGTTGGGAATTTGGTTTTTCTTAAAGTCTCACCGTGAAAGGAACTTATACGATTCGAGAAACGAGGAAAGTTGAGTCCAAGGTTTATTGGACCATTCAAAGTTCTTCATAAGATTGGGAACCAAGCTTACAAGCTGGAATTGCCTGAAGTACTCGATGGTATAAATAACACCTTCCATGTGTGTTATCTGAGGAAATTCACAGGAGAAGTTCCCGACATAATTCCAATCTCAAAGTTAAGAATGGATGAGAATAAGAGGTTAATCGAAGAGCCTGAGGCAATTGTTGACTGTAAGACTAAGAAGTTACGATGCAAGATGGTCGACTTAGTGCTAATCTGATGGAAACATTCGAATAGGCCGAATCTCACTTGGGAAACAAAGGATAACATGATGAGTCGCTATCCACATTTGTTTGTTGATGCATGATTCCGGAAAGGAATCATCCTAAGGGGGAGAGAATTATAACGCCTGGGTTTCAGGGATAAGCATTTTTGAAAATGTAACAATCTAGATCAACTATTGTAACTCTTTTTGAAGTAATAAAGATGAAATATTAGAGTATTATGTGAAATTATGTGTATTAATGTGCTTATTATTTACATATAAATGTATAATTAATAAAGAGTAAAAATAAGTGTCAAAATTAAAGTGTGAGATAAGTCCAATATCATTATAAAAGTGGTCAAAACAAGGATTCCGGGGATATAAAGAATGCTGAAATCCGAGTTATAACGAAGAAGTTACGACCCGTTGAAGTTTCGCGACGGAAGCGGCACGATACCGGGAAGCGTAAATAGTGAATTTACGATAGAGGGAGATTTACCCTTAGCGATCTAAACGAAAGTCATAGAATATGTTAAACTAAGAGTGTCGATAAAAAGAACGCCCAAATCTGACTTCGTATGAGGAAGTTATGATTTTTCGAAGTTTCAGATTAGCAGTGTACAGCCCGAAATTCGAATATTAGAACGAGCGGTTTTTATCCGACACGACCTGAATGAGAATCGAAGATCTAGTTAAGAGCAGCATAACGATAAAAAACATGGGCGAAAACAGACGTCGGATGAAGAAGTTATGAGAATTTAACGGACCAATCTTGTCCCGGCCTGTTAATAATACAACTTCTAAAATATAATCAAAATTAGTTGACGTAGTCTAAACGAAAGTTGTAGAGTATGTTCCCACCTTCGCGTGGATATAAAGAACATTGAAAACGGAGCTTGTATGCGAAAGTTATGATTTTTAGAAGTTAAGTGTGCAAACTGCGAAACTGTGATGACGTGGCACGATCCTAGCCTCCCCTTGCTCCCCACGGTGCTCGCTTCGGATCTTGATGCGTCACCCTCGCCTACGCCCCGCGTCCGAGGCCAAGCACGCCCTGCGTACGTTCGCTTCTTATCTTACTGGTGTGCGAGACAGCTGGCTGCGAGCTGGCATTCGTATCCGAGAGTACGCCCACCATACCCTCGGTACGCCCAGCGTAATCCGAAGACCTCCGACTATAAATAGCATGCGAGCCATTTCGAAAATCTCACACCTTTCTTCATTCCTTCTCTCTAAACTTTCTCTCTCTAGCCCGTTTTGAGTCCCTAACGTCTAGGTGAACCCCTACCACCCTAAGGAAGCCCCGAGGCTCGCGAAGTCCCGAGAAAAAGGATCTTTCGGTTTCGAAACGTTGCTCCAAATAAAGCCTGGTTTTCTTTAAAATCTGCTGTAAGTGAGCTACGCTTATGCAATTTTTAATATAGCTTTCAAATAATTATAGTAATGTTATTAGGTCCTTAAAATAATTATTTGGGCTGTTATTATGAGTTATATTGAGTGTTATTTAATGCATA